TGATTATGATGACGTTCGCGATGCGTGGCGCCGCACAAGCAGCTAACAACAACCTCTTTGACCCAGCAGTAGCTTTTTGCTCCCGTTCTTTGCTTTTTCCCCTCAATAGTGATTTGTTTCAGAACGAAACTCTACCTTCTCTATTATTCTTCAAGAATGACGAGAACAAAACAAAAACAGCACCTTCAAAATACCAGTGGTATCACTGTTAAGGGAAGCACAGTTTCAGTACCAACATTATTGGAAACGAAGGAAAAGCACAAATGTAGCACCAGTAACATCATTCGAAACAAAAGAAAGAATAATTCAAACATGAACACCGAGAACACTTTCATCCCACCAGTAGAAACGGTATTACAGTATACATTCTGAGAAGATTTAAAAAAAGTACCTGAAAGCACGACCTATGCGCAGTGAAGGATAATCACAGCACATAGGTATTAACCTTTCTAGATTTAGAAAGGAATCATTTAGAAAGCGTTATCGCGCCACTGTTTGCTGCGGCGGGTGCGCCTTATACCCCGAGAATAGGGTAATATAAAAATTTCACTTCGCTGTCATGCTTTTTTCATGAGCTATTTCAAATTTAGGGTAACAATTGTCTTTCCGATGTTTGTCAGAAAATATGATTACAAAATTAAAAAAGCTCGAAAAACTGGTATAAGTTGTGCAGTGAAATCAGCACGACTGAGGACTTTGCTACACAGATTACAATTTTTTTGAATTTTTTTCATTAAGAAGTTTATTCCATAGCGGGGCCGTGTGCTGAAAGTTTATACCGTGATTTTACAACAATAAAAAGTGATTGATTCGCTTCTTACTGTAAGTCTAAGTTGGACCTCGCTGTACATAATGCTACCTAAAGCTTGGGGAAAGACATAGAATCAAGAGAGTTATTAACGATCAAACAGTGTGCACATCTTATTCGCCTGTATAGCGTTTTTGGAGGATGTATATGCGTGAAGGATTCGTGGGTTTCTTCACAGCTGAACTATCTTGGTCTACAAACATTTGGATCTTTTTTGTTACAGTTTATCTGCCTAGCGACTGCCTACATATGTGCATCGATTTAATCGACTTCTTGCAAAAGTTTGAGTTACGGACTGAGAAAGGAGGTAAGTGAGCAAGCTGATTTTGGATATATAATTGTCAGGGCCGGACGAGCAGGTTTGCCAGCCAGTACTCAATATTTCTCGTGAGCCATGTTGTAAAAGGCTACAAACCAAGTTTGCACCTCTGAAGTGCGGTATGTCGCATTAATGAATTAGAGTAAGAAAACAGCTTAGCACACTTTAACAAAAACGTAAAGATACTTTGTTTTTTCGGCTTTTACTTAAGGAAAAAAGCAGTAACTGCCTACATGAGAAGATACAGTAACCGCCTAAATGAATGTCTGATATGGAATGTAAGCCTGAGCAACTAAAGGTTGCTGTAAAATCCTCTTGGATGGAGTTGCAATTTTGTCGCTAAACTTCCTCGATTTTTCGGGCGCTTATATCTTTTATAGCTTTCGGCTTTGAATTTCACGTCCGTCAAAGTGGGTAAATCTTTGAGGACTGTTTAGTAGGCCGGCATCGTTCTACTGAATGATATGTCAAAACCTATCTGCAAAACTTATGTCAACTCAATATGTACTTTCAGATTCTTTCTGACCTACGAAACCTTGTCCTTTACATTTTCTTCCTCTGAAACATGAGTTTCTTTTAGCAAGCTTTACCTGCACATTAAAACATCTTTATAAGGTATGTACTTGGTAGAAAAATGTTACATGGAGTATGTGACTTTGAAGAAATCACGTAAGCATTTCAGGGCGCATGCGTCAAACACTATGATGGAAAAATTTACAGAAAAACTATATGTCTCTGACATTCGTACGAAAAGTTGACGACCTGGAAATTGATTGAGCGCCAAGCATACGAACCACGAATAAGTGTCTCAAAAACATCTTCATCCCGCACTCAACTTATTTACCAATCGGAGCCTACCAATCAAACCGAAATTAGTATTTCTGAAATCCAAATCAATGATTCGAAAGTAATCTATGATCTGTGTTAGGGAAAGTGCCTGAAAGACGTTTGGCACGCGCATGTGCGCAACTGACTTTTACTCGTATATTACAACCTATTTTAATAAAAGATAAGGGATTCTGCGTCTTTGATACTTTCTGCGGGCATACGCCGAACACACTCTACTTCATAGTCGAAGAGGCTACTGAATGCAGCGAGCCTATGAAAGTGGCCTGCAAGGTCCAGCCGATTACCAAGTAAGTGCTTTTATGCTCTAGAAAAATGTAACAATTTCATCGCTACTAAACTTCCAAAGCGTGATAATCCTTTTTTGCAAACGCAGGTTTTGACAGTTGCATTAGATTCAAAAGTTTTTTTGCCGTTTTCAAAAATGCATGTATTGCTTCAAAAACGATTTGCAACTTTGACATTACTTCAAGAATTAGTTCGTGCGTCTTGTAATCATACTAAACGCTTCAACAACGTTCTGCAGAATTAAACGGGGCGAAAAATCACTTCAAAATTTAACTTATTGTGTTGCCAAAAATTTAATTTCCGCCATGAAATCATATGTAAGAAAGAAGTCGATTTTTAGACATGCTTTAAAAGAGTGATAAGACCTCAAAGCGTTCAATCAGCATAAACCTTGCTCAGTCGGAGAGTGGATTATGAGCTTTCAATACTGGTAGCAAATTCTATCGTAAGTTCAGAAGTTCCCACCCATCATTAAAAAAATCAAAATTTTAGCGTTCTTTTTCTATCTTTTCATAACTCTCTATAACCCTTTACAGGCCCATATTGGTGCAAAAATCAGAGGGCAGGCGAATGCATTATATTGTAGATAAATAAAGATAATCCGCAGTTACAGATCACATGACGATGCGAACGGGGAAGAAACTACAGATAAATACCCGCTCTTATAGCACGTCTCTGAATTTTTGGTAGTGATCCAGAATGCTTCCAGTGTTTTTCTAGCTGAGAACTCTGTTTCGTACGCAAAAATTTTATATTTGATATTAAAGCATCCTTTACCGTGCCGAACGTCCATGCCTGCCAAGCGGTGAGTCCATTTGTGCCTTCTAACAGCCAAGTGCCCTCTCACGCAAATATCCAAAACTCTACCCGTCTCTGCTCAATATAATGCTTTACAGTTGAGAAGTTCGATTCGATAAAGGCTCCTACTTTCCAAATCTCCCACACTATCGTGCCGACATACTAAGCATCGCTCTTTTGTACAATATTTATCGTAAAGTTAGTTTTTTTAACCCAGCTGCAAGATGATGTTCTTCTGACCAACATCCTTAGGGACAGTATGCATTGCATATTGTCCCTAAGGATGTTGGTCAGAAAAACATCAACTTGCAGCTGGGTTAAAAAAGTATTGCTGAGAATCCGCGATAATCTTATCCGAGATAATTGGAAGGCAAAACGGGAGATGCTGTGACTACAGCTGCTGTGCTGCTGTTACCATTCCAAGATCTTCGAGATATCTGCATTTCCCAAAATTGATAAAGGTCAGCGAACGGGTTCTCTTATTGCCATGTCATTTCTGTTAATAGTTAGTGCACATGCAAACCTCTCGCAACTTTTTGCAGCAGTCCTCTTCTTTGTCTTCGCTTTCGCCACTGCTGCATAACTCCTAATGCAATCACAGCCATGAACTTTCACCTAATCGAACTGCAACCTCTGGTCCCCGAAAACGCTCTGATGATTCCATTTCTTTGTACCTTCAAGATCAATCAGTGAGTTTGCCGGCTAAAAACAGAAAATTACATGTTTACCTACTGAGTAGAGAGCATTCTACGATAAGATTTGGAATAATCTTAGCTTGACATATCGTTTTGTCGAACATTTCAAGTTAGCTTGTTTAACGTGACCGAAGCTGGGTAAGGAAAGAAACTAAGTATACTAAAGCAAAGAGTCGTCTTTAAATAAAAACAGGAAGGTACTTTTTTTCCGATTACAAGCTGTACGACGTGAATCCCCATTTCTACTGCTTTCTGTAACTGTTCGTTTCCAATATATGTATGAAGATCAAGTATTTGATCGTGTTCGTTCTGTTATTTTGAGAATCTGTATGATCAAGGCCGTATGCACACAACCCGCTAGGAGTAGAGGGAAACTGTGAGGAAATGGTTCGTATCGATTTTATCTCTCTTGTTCACTCACCTACCGGAGACTCTACTACTTTAATAACTCGGTCTAATAAATGACAACGCATTGTTGTACAAGCAAAATTTTTCTGTTTCGTATGATCTTCTAGGCATCTCTAGGGTAGGCTTCTCTTTTCAAGCTATTCATCTTTCTTCAAACTCGATGAGAACCGTCATATGATATGCAAAAGGTGGTTGACTGAGGCTTTCGTTATCCTGAAATTCCATTTATTTCCACAAACACAGTATTAGATCCTTCCCCTTTTCCCCAGTATAAGTTTGTGGTATTTTTGTTGAGTTTGGAGGATAGTTGACTTTAACTATCGCTAATGACCTTCCATTCAATTATCCAAAATTAGTTTTAATAGCTTTTTTTGGGGTGCTTCTCAAAATTTTTGCACTCGCACATTCCTATAACTCAGTTGAGATGTGGGACGTACGCGATGTCGCAGTGTACACCGCTTAGTTGGCCTAACTCTAAGGGGTTTTTTCAAAGTCCCCCCCCCCTCTCCAGCATGGATGTAAGTGAATACGCCCCCAGACCATTTTGAGTGCTGTTTTGTGCAATGTATTTTTTGAGCATGGATAGAGTGTTTGCTTTAGTTACCTGTTGTTTGGCAATTATCTGTGCTTTTGGCTTCATTTTCTCATATAATGTATGATTTCTTTCGCTTACAGTCTGGCAATACTGTTCCGTTCTCGTGCCCCTCATGGTAATACCTTTGTAGAACAACGTTTGAAGCGTGATGGAAGCCAGAGAGAGAGGGGAGAGCGACTGCCTGGCTGTGCATACTTCTTATAGCAACTCAGTAAAAGTGAGAACACTTATAATATTCATGAAATGCACTATGATATATCACCGAGCCATGATTTCCTCCTGCGTGTTCACTGCGGTGAGTTTTAAAGGTCTGGTAAGCAAGTGGTTCATCTATTTTTTGACAAGTAGAATGTGATTTACCAATGTAATCGAATTAATTGATAAAAAATTAGAAAATTTTTGCGTGATTTGCTGCGAGGTCTAATATCACAAGCAAAAATGAGGTTTTATGTCCTTATCGCATCACATGAAGCGGGAACTGTTAAAGTGGTACTACAAGATGTTCTATTGAATCAAAAAAGGAAGTCAAAATTGAGTTAAGAATTTAGATTTGAGGTTTGGTCGAATCCTAGCAAGTTGCTGTCCATAGCCCTGAGCATTGCTTAGGCGACTATGGAGCGCAAGAAAAGTCTTGTCAGGTTTTTGAGATCTTTTATGAATTGGACGTATGCTTCGTCATGACACCAACTCGATTGCAGAAAGCATTTATGTTTGTCAGATAGGAAATGATTTTGTCATGGAAACAAGGCAGAGCAATGAAATCAGCCCAAAGTCATCATAGCTGATAGGATCGAACTGGAAATGTCAAGTCCTATCTGAATCTCAAAGTTAGCTTGGTCGCGATTAAGCAGCTTCATGTAAATTGACGCCAATCACACTAAAATACATCGTTTCGTCAATTCATTGCAAAGTATGGCAATCTAATCTAGTGTTCTTGTAAATCCAAGAATGAGATGCAAATTTTTTGAAAATTTCGCGTTTTTCAAACGGATCAAAAGGCGCATTTTTTTTTCAATCTAAGGTAATCTAGGTATTTGGTGAACAGCTAAAGAGTGGGATTTCTGTGAACTTTCTGGCGCGCTGGCTGTAATGCCTTAGGCTAGCCAAACTTGAATTGATATCCTCAAAGCGAAAGTGTTGTAGCCAAGGACTTATTATGAAAAGGGGATTTTTGGTTGATGAAAAGTGTTAAGCTCGTAATTCGTGGTATCTTTTTCCATATACTCTCTAATCATGTTCATTGTTCAATCATTCCTCCATTCTTTCAAGTCATGCAGAGATGCACATGTCACCTACTATTATGGCTCGCTATTTCGTCACAAAATGGAAGAAAATTATGGGAATAAAGAAAAATGAACAAGAACGACTTGATTTTTTCAGTCTAGTCACACTTCGGATTAAGCTGGAAAATTTGTAAATAATATCAATAAAATCCATGTTCGTAAACTTTAAACAGACTTTTTCTGAAGCTTCAATGCGAATTTTGCTCCTAACAGTCCAAAGTTTGCAATGCACGCGCTGTAATCTTCGTTTCTGTTCAAGTCTGTGAACACATTTGTGCGCAAGGACGAAACTAATTTATCGGAAGGTAATGATTATTGGCACCGGGTTGCAAAAAATACCTCCATTTGGCTACTGCGTTTCTGACTTCATATAAACAAAGAATTCGCTGAAACAAGTCACTTCAGCCTCGTTTGGTTCCAGCAAAAGTTGCCAAAAACTACTCCGCCATATTTAACAATTAGTTCTCATACTAGCTCATGTTCTACCTTCCTTTGATTTACTTTGTTTATTTCTAGATCCGCTTACGGAAATGATGCTTCCCTTGGCAATACTGCTCATAATTTCAATCAGCACTGTTCATTCGCAAGGTAGGTCATCCAGCATTTATGTTGGCTCATTATTAATAATCAGATCGGTAGAATAGTCACTTTATCCTTTTTACTCCAGCGTATTGCAAGCGAGAAATTTTACCTTAAGCCAAAATACAGCGTATTTGCAGATATTTCCAAAATGCACACATTCTTTTTTCGAGCTCCACAAAGATTCAGAAAAGTAACGAGCTTAGCAATTCTAACTAGTAAGCAGTCTGGAAAAAGAGAAAAAAGATTTGTTTGTTTTGCCAAAGAAATCTAGCTTATATACGTAGAAGTAGAGCTGAAGGATTGAATTTCCCCTGTACACCTTTTGCGTATACACACCAGGTATAAAGCATGCATACTAAAGATTCACTAAATCTGAGAGTCTTTGTAGACACCAAAAGTAAGCAGTCACTCAGCTGAGCTTAATTAAAGTTGGTGTAGTCGATCATAACCAAAAAAACAAAGCATTGCTTTTCTTAAAGTCCCATCGTTTATAGTAACGTCTCGCAACATGTCACTCACTACCTTTTTTAAATTGAACTGTTGCCTGACTTTGTTCTCGATATGAACTTGCTTTGGGCATTTGTTTCACGTTTTTGATTACAAAGGGTTGTGTGTATATATGACACTCCCAAATAACATCTATTTTGCATTTTTAATATGCAGTGACGACCCTTTTGTGCCAAAAATTGATGGAAACTTCGGGTTCTTGTGAAAGTTATAGAGGAAAATATTAGCATGATCAACTTTAAGGTTGGCAAGGTATCGTTGGCCAAGCACTAGGAGCCGCCACACAAGCAGGTCAGCAAGCTGCAGCAGCGCAACAACCCGGTATAATTTCGAACAAAAACAAACGCTTGACTACAATTTTTTGACTTCCATTATTGAGGTTGGGGACAACAGCCTGCTGCTGGTGCGTGGGGACAACAAGGTGCATGGGGACAACAGCCTGCTGCTGGTGCGTGGGGACAACAACAAAGTGCATGGGGACAACAACCCGCCGCAGGTGCATGGGGTCAACAAACTGCTGGTGGTTGGGGGCAACAGCCTGCTGCCGCCGGCTGGGGACAACAGGGTCAGCAGTGGGGTCAAGCAGGTAATAGCCATTCTACTTATATTGTATACCCTAACTAGGTTTAATGGTTTTACAGCCTCCAGCTTTGGAAGATGGGGAAGAAAGTAAAGGAGTTGGCCTTATTCTGCGATTGTTTCGATTTAGAAATAAATGTTATAAATTGTCGTTTTCCTCAAAAAGGTTACAATAAGTATGCTGTATACTTACATCTCATCAAGTTTGCATGAGAAGACATTGTGAATGATAAAGCTAAGCAGAAATGGCTAACGTCGGCCACAATTATCTGTGGAAACAAAACCTTTTCGTATGGCGTACCTCTTGTATATCTTTGAACTGTGCAGTAAGCTACACGGTCAATGTGCTCAGACAATTGCAGAGGAAAGTTCGCGGCCTCAAAGCGTGTTATGGCGCGCCGCGGCCCTTGAAAATTCAGCCGCGCACGCCGCGGCCCATGTATATTTTACCGGGAACGCCGCGGCCAAAGTTGAAATTGGGAGGAGACTACAGGGAGGGTCCCGGCCTAACCACCTCACTCGTAGGGCCGCGGGCCTTATCAAAGGCCGCACTTCTTACACGCTGTAGGTTAAGGCGCAGCCCGCGTGAGGTACGCCACAAACTTCAGCAGTCGGATGAGTGTTGTCGACGACACTAGATGATGTCGACAGATGAGCTAACAAATTGTTCAAGAGTTGCACTCTAGTCGTCATCGTGAAAGACAGACTAAATATTTCTTCACTTTTCCTAGGCCTTACAAGCATGGTAGTCGGGCCAACTATAGGCGCTTAACGGGCACTTACGGGATGCGCCGCGGTTACTTATCGGGTCTAATATAAGGTTTACCGGGCAGCTCGCGGCATGGATGATTAGTGGCCGAGCAAGCACCCGCGAACTTCCCGATGCAATTGTCTGAGTGCTTATTTTTCATTATCTCTGCAGTTGGCAACTTGACTAGAGCTAAGCGCATAGCATGAGACAAACGTTGTGTACACCTTGCTAGACAATCTCTGATTATTCTCCTTGAAACCATAACAAGCTATAGCATTTCTTATATAGCATCCGCTGTAACCATGCAGTCAGATTGCGCGTGAGCATCGCTTAGGACAAATAGGTGCAAAAGTTACCTTTGCTCGGGCTAAAAACTCCATTAGACATTCCGATTTCCTCTATTTCTGTTTTTTCAAGTACTCGCTCACTTTCATATGTTTTTGACTGTGTCTTTGTTTGTTGATATATCTACTCTGGTGTTCAGTGGGAGGTGTTCCTAAAGTCTCACAGATACTGTTTTGATTTTTGTACCACTAAAAAGCGCTTCCCTTATTTTGTTTTCTTGTGCTTGTTTAGATCCTTGAATTAATAACTGTCACGAATTTTGAGTCCACAAGCAGATCGTTGAAATGTAATTTTAAAAAGATATACTCAAAAAATCTTCTACACTGCATTCTTAGGATGAAATAGTGTTATAAAATCTTCAGTGAATAGTACTGTCAAAGACTAGCACATTTATAATTCGAGTAGAGATTGTTGCTTTTTCATGCTGTTAAAGCGAAACATATGGTAGGTGCTGTATAAAGGGAAGCATTCTACAGTCACTAACATTCTACAAGTTTGATGTTACAGATGTTAAAAATTGAGCAAGAAGAAGAAGAAGCAGGACTCTGCCAGCAATTAGCCTGCACTGAAAATTTTGAAGTACCAAAGGCCTTTTCTTTGCCCTTTTATATGCGCTCATATAAAAAGAGCAGAGAAAAAAACTTTTCAGAATTTTGAGAATAATGATCTTCCAGACAACGAGGTGTTCCAAAAATGTGCACACTGCTTGAATGTCAACAACTCACTTCCTTTGATGTCTTTCGGCAAACTCAAAAAACCATTGTGTAGAGTGAGGTTCAACTTAATAGATTCACGATATAAAGTGAATCAGCGGTCGCTCTTTATTACTATTTACGGTGAGAACTTTCAGTAGATAAAACCACAGTAAGAAAGGCCGCCTGACAAAATTTAGAAAAAATCTATAAATTGTATGCTTCTTTTTGTAAAACCTTGGCATTTTCTGTAGATATTGTTTCAATGGTTTGAGCCGTAACAGGTTTTCAAAAGAACAATTTATTTACTGTCCGACGTTTCGGCTAAATGCCGTCTTCAGAGGCCTGAAAGCGAGTCAATCACTCTTTAACCAAACGTTCTAGACCATCAGACACTTCCTCCAAACCGTATACTTGACTCATCTATTGTGACGCAGATAAGTTCTCAAGTTGAACAGCTTACCAAGTGTTCCTGGTGAAGAGCGTAAGGGTGTTAGCTCTCTCTCACGGTCGTCCACAGCAAATGATGACAAAATGAGCTTGTGTTTATTAACATAATTCTGCATGCCACATCTGCGAATCCTCCGAAGACGGCATTTAGCCGAAACGTCGGGCAGTAAATAAAGTGTTCCTTTAAAAACCTGTTACGGCTCAAAACAATTGAACAAAATCTATAAAATTGTTCAGAGAGGTTATTCGCGCATGGTGATTTCACTGCACATCTTTTCACGACTTTTTAAAATTTTTTAGTGGTTATAAACACATTTCGATGAACATTAGAAAAACAGTTGTCACGATATTTTTGGAATGCCGTAAGAAAGCTTCAGTACAGTAAAGTGCAGAGTTCATATTTATGATCAGCGACCTTGATTAACCAGGTGTAAGAGTTTTTGGCTTTTTTGGTTTCTTTTTGCGGCAAAATATGGCTCTCAATGGCCTGAAATGCTTTTCTAATTTTCTACCGTAATCTCACAGTAATGAACAGCGATCGCTGATTCGCTCTATACTACAGATCTAAGTTGAACCTCGCTTTACATAATGGGTACGTAAAGTTGGCTGAAAGACATTAAAGCAAGGAAGTTATTATCGATTGAACAGTGTTCACATTTTTTGAGACATCCTGTATGTGAGCAGCTACGAGAGATCTCTATGACGTGATAATCTTTCGGGAAAACCTTGTAAAAATGCTTAAACTCTTATTGATCATTGGAGACCTTTTGTATATGAGCGACCCTGTATAGCCCAGGACTTGCTCAATGAATTATAGTCATTCAAAAAAAATTGATTGGCTACAACATTTTCTCTAGAAACAAGGGTGAAACGAGAAAACGTTTGCACAGGTTTTACGGCATGATTTCTTTTGTTACTTCAAGAAACTTTTACTTATTCAAGCTTGAAAGGATAGTTATATGCAATTTTTCTATGAAAAAAGATTCTGACTGCAGTGATAAAGCCTTTTCTGTACAAGATTTGGCTCTCAGTGGTGCATCCGCCCAAAATTTCTGACTGCACAAAGCGAAATGTGATGGTGTTTTCAAACCGCACCTTAGAAGGATTTTTCGATATGTTGACTTCAAGAGAGGGAGGCTATTCAAAGGCAGTGTCCGGGCAAAAAGTCGAGTTTGAAATTTTGTGCTTATCCGGACCTATTCGCTATGCTGATTCTAAAAATCCACATTGGAGAGCGCGAAAATGGCGAAAAAGGGCTCTAACACAGGAGGGAAATCAGAAGTGGGCGGGGTCCTCCCCATCGTAAATTCAGGCTCCCAGCTTCTGGAGCAATCTTCTCGGTCCTGATTTCAAGTCGAGCGTTCGCACTTGGCCGAGAAGATCGCTCCTGAAGCTGGGGTCGTGAAGTCACGGTGGGGAAGACCCCGCCCACCTGCTCATTTCCCTTCTGTGTAAGAGCATTTTTCGCCATTTTCGCGCTCTTCAGTGTGGGCTTTCTGATTCAGCATAGCGAATAGGCCCGGGTAAACACAAAATCTCAAAATCGACTTTTTGCCCGGACACTGCGTTTAAGTTGTACGAAGCTTCCTCAAAGAATTTGTTTTCATTACATTTTCCTTCTTCGCCTACGATTTCGCCTTACACTTTACAACAAACAACGCAAGTAATCAATATCAATTTTTTTTAGCAGTATGTTTCGTCGTAATCCAACAAATGATTTACTTTCATTTCTTTGTTAGGCGTGCTTTCAATCACACAAAAGTCATATGATACTCCCAACCAGCAGAACCTGTCAATCAACAAATTTGCAGATGTATCAAATTGGGGGGCATACCATTGGTCATCAACATGAATCATGGTGTGATTTGTTTAGGGCAAAAAACAAGGGACGTTATCAGAGTATGGTTCGAGTAAAAAGAAAACTGCCGTTTGCTACAAGAGACGTCCATGCATTTTCATGAGATTTTAGGTTGTGTAAGAAGTTCGTTCGCATTTTTTGTTTTAGTCTTCTCTCACTATTTTGGAAAGCATCTGGCAAAATGTTTGTATGCATTTGGAAGTTCTAAGTCTGCTCTACCAACTGCTATCATTATTTTCCCAATTCTGAGAAGTTGAACGAAGATTACGACCACAAAGCGGAAAATCCGAGAAAGCGAAATTTCCATTTTCGACAGCTATGTAATGCTGCATCTCAAATGAATTCAAAGGCATGAGATAGAAAGCTCCATCAATTGCGACGTGTGTGGATATAATGCTGTGCCACTCGCAAACTACTAAGAGGTGCAAATCTCTTAAATTCATATTACAAGCCTAAAAATAGCTCTGCTTGCTGAGGTCTGTTCGGCGTCAACGTCAGGCATTGAAAGGCTTGAGAGAGCATGGTCACCGAACAATACAGACTTGAGACACGCGGGTCTTTGATCATAAATTCTTCGAATATATGGATTACCTGCTCCATTTCAGATTTAAGGGGACACACTTAAGTACGCGAAACGACGAATGCCTTCACGCAAAGTCTTGCTCTGCCGAATTCTGCAAACATGACATTGAACGGTTGGTGAAAGTAATGAGCAAGCATAAACAGTGGCAGTAAATGCTTAGAGCGTCCAGGCAAATTTACGCAATTAGGTTTTCGCGTGGAAACTGATGAGGGGCTCTAACTAGAGCACTGCCCAATGGACAGCGTAAATCATCCATTCACGGCTGAGTAATTCATCCTCTCCAAACCCCTCAATCCCTGCGCCATAAACGTAACTCGCGACTGACAAGGGACGGGTCCCAGCGCGAACGCAATGCTAATCGGAGGAGGGTCAATTGCGGGTTACGGTCACGACGGCAGGGAATGAGGGTCTCGCAGATGGATTTCTTAGCCGTGGATAGATGATTTGCGCTGCCGCTTGGGCATTGGCTTAGTTAGGACCCTCTCATCACTTTCCACAAAAAGTATGCGCCCAAATTTGTCTGGACACTGTCTCTAAGTGCTTAGTCTGTCGTTACAAATTGCGTGAGGCTTTTGAAGAAACTTCGTCAATGAGTAACGGAAAAAACTAAGAAAGAGAAAGGCGGCAAATTTGGAATTTTCGCTTCCTCGGCTTTTTCGGTTTGCAGCCGAATTTTCCAATTGATTTCTTGAAAACTGAAAATAGTGATAGTTTTTTGGTAGAGCAAACTTAGGACTTCCGAACGCATACAAACATCTCGCCAAGTTTTGCAAAATAGTGGAAAAAATACAGAACCTAATAGACTTGAAAACCTCGATGCAGTTCTCATAAAGCGTCGTCAATTTTTTGAAAAGCCGATTATTCTCGAATGAAACGTCTGGTTCAAAGAGGTGCTCTTTACACGCTTGAGCCAAACTAAGAACATGAGAGAAGGACACTTCGCTGTGCCGAAGTCTGCTGTAAGGTACATTTGGCAGAACTGCAGAAGCTCTCGCATTCGTCAGTGTAGTTGCAATCTACTGATACACTTCCATCCGGATTCTTTCCAAGCATAAGTTGAACGACAGGGCTGCTTCTAAAAAGTAAGTGGCAGCCGGCGCGCTTAGAAGGACAGCGTCCATGACATTGGTAGTTTGAGGCAAGCCAGTAAGCAAGAATTACCTAGCTGATTAATTGTGTATGTCGTATCTATAAGAAATTAACCAATTTATTGACAGAACTTCTTGAACAGCTTGATTGTTAGATTGCTTTGAGTAGGCATGTATACCAGGCTGTTTGTAGAATTATGTTTGATCTCGTAACTTCTTTTGACAAACTGACTTGACTCAGTGTAGTGAAGACATTGCAAGGCAAATGAGCGTTCCCGACATCGCCATCAGAGGTGCGATAGTCGGAGCCGAGTCTCCGCCTACCTTCACTTTTGAGCTGGCACGGGGGACCACCTTCACTTTTGAGTTTGAAAAATTTTTTTGCTAAAGTTAAAAGAAGGAAAATTAGAAAAAGGAGCAAAAGAAAGTATTGAGAGCATATATCTATGTAGTAAGTCGATCTAGGCAGTAACCGCCGAGAACCAGAATTTTGAATGATAAAATAGCGAAAAAATCATGCGAACTTTCCACTGTTATAAATCTGGTGGTTGAAGATGTCAGCAATTGCGACTTCATAGGTTTTAAAGGGTAAGTGTTTTTCTACCAGTGTGAAAGAATCAGGTCGATCTGAGCAGTGACCGCCGAGAACAAGGATTTTAAAAAAATTATGCGATTTTAGGTTACTTAGTGACAGCTGACGTTTAAACTCCTATAAACCTGGAATGTGAAAGTGTGCAATGTTGCGACTTCATAGATTTGTAGAGTAGGAATTGCTCTATCGGAATGTGCCTTAGCCGTACCGACCCATCGAGGTAACGCCGAGATTCAGGCTCTTAAAAAAATAGGTGAAAAACCGCTTTTTGAACTTCAACAGCTTATAACTTCTTCGGAACTGCATGGATCATGTTGCGACTTCATAGGTTAGATTCTTCTCATTAAGAGCTTCCAGATGATATATAATATGTGGGGTATCGCGCCTCTTACGGCATATGCCCGGGGTGGAGACTTTTCACTCCAAAGTCTCCACTGGCGGTCTCCGGCCAATACATTAAAATGGTCGAGGTGGAGGCTTTGGGGTGAAAAGTCTCCATTCTGGGTTAGAGCCGCAAAAATCATTGAACTCCCCACATATTACATACCATGTGAAAGCTCTTGATCAGAAGAATATAACCTATGAAGTCGCAACATGAATCATGCAATTCTGAAGAAGTTATGAGCTGTTGAAGTTCAAAAAGCGGTTTTTTACCTGTTTCTTTAAGAGCCTGAATCTCGGCGGTATTTTGATGGATCTATACGGCTAGGGCATAATCCGATAGAGCAATTCTTACTCTACAAAAACTATGAAGTAGCAAAATTGCACACCTTCACATTCCAGATTTTTAAAAGTCTGAACGCCAGCTGTCATTAAGTAACCTAAAATCGTTTAATCTTTTAAAATTCTCGTTCTCGGCGGTCACTCCTCAAATCAAACTGATTGTTTCACTATCTCGTACAACAACGCTTGCCCTTTGAAACCTATGAAGTCGCAATTGCTGACAACCGCAAGATTTATAAAAGTGGAAATTTCGCATAATTTATTTTTATTATTCAAAATTCTGGTTCTCGGCGGTTACTGCCTGGATCGACCTACTTCTTTCGCAATGCGTTATAACAAAATTTACTTGATAAAATCTGTGAAGTCTCGTTGACTCTCACTTCAAAACACACCATTTACTAAACACGTTTGTTTTAAATATACATATATGCCGCCGTATACATTAAAATATGCTTTCAATAATCTTTTTTTGCGTTTGTTTTGCTTATTTTCTGCGCACTGTCGGCAACGACCTGGAAGGGTAGGCTCAGTCGACGTTAACGCCCCCCCCCCCCGGTCGACTTTTTTGGAAGGTGAGTGTCCGGCACTATTACCTTCACTTTTGGCCGGCCAGTGGTAGCTGGAACCACCTTCACTTTTGCGGGGCCCGGCTCTACCTATCGCACCTCTGATCGCCATTAGCAGTCAAAACTACTCAGAACCGCAACTCAAGCAAAATGCATATAAGGTACAGAGGACTCTTTGAAATCCGCTTGTTTTATCTGTTGTAAACTATCCTGGAAACGAAGGTATAAGCCATCATGTAGTAAAAAACTCTCAAATACATAGTAATTCTTTGCTTTGATTTTCTTCCATATCTTCGTTCACAAAGATGTTCAGCAACTGTAGCAGCTAGGTTTAGAGTCAGCATTCCGTGCTGCCCAAATTTATGCAACTTGTTTCCAATGGCACTTCTTTTGTATATTTCCTCGCAAGTTGATAAATATGAACAGATAAGTTTTTCAAGCTGTCTGCTAGATAGAAAGCACTGGTAAAATTCTTCTAATGAGATAGAATAATTTTCTTCTTCATAGAAGAAGTATGTGCGAGTTGGACGTTCTTAAGAGGTTTGTACCAGCAAGAAAAGAGAAGAAGCCAAACATTCGTAAAGGCTTTTTGCCATCATTGACATACATATTTCTACACATTGACATACATGTTTCTATAAAACCAGCAAGCGTCTTTGCTTCAAAGGCTACAACAAGGGGCATTTTCTTCAGTAATATTTGAGTAAACAAATCTTCATAAAATGAAAGAGATAACGGGTTTTACAGTTGGAGGGACTAAATGCACTGCTCAACATGTTACTTTAGTCATAAATTCGTGTAGTTTCCGAAAGTACGTAAGCAGTTCATAGTAAGCAGGACCAGCTTTTCATTCTAAGCGATTGAACTTGTCATAGAACTAACCTAATCACTTCACTATCCATCTTTGCCCCTCCGAATAGCTTGCCTTCTGAAAGTAACTTTATGAAACAATCTATAATAGCAGTTACGGCGGACGAAGGGTGGAAAACTATATGTCGCCGAATGGGGTGGTCTCACGCGGATATCTGCGACAGATCCAAACATTGCAGACATACAAAAGTGTTGTTTTGAACGATTGATCTATTTCGCAAGCGACCTCGCTCGATTGGCTCGAGGCCAAGGGGCGGAGCGAAGCGGCTCCGAGCCCTTGGCGGGATGACTGGTCATCCAGGCGTTTTAACGCGTACGGAGCGCCCTCCCGCCCGCCCTGAAATAACGCGAGCTAATGATTTTCTCTTTTCAGCACCTCGGTTTGAAGAAGGACCGGCGCTAGCAACGGTAGCAGACCGGTTAGGCCTCCAGAATGTTAGCAGAACAATCTACAAGGCGCTACGCTCAGATAGGGAGTCTTCTACCTTCGCGTGCTACAGCGCCGAACTGAGGAAATTTTTGTCCTGGAAAGGGAGTGACGCCCTGCCAGCTATTCCCCTAGAGAAGGTGCGCAATCTTTATCTAGCGAAATGTGCACACGAAGGTAGAAATAAGTCTTTACCAGTACTAAGGCGGCCCTCAATTATTTTTGTGGCCCGTTGACGGGAGTCGATCTGGATATCCAGCAGTCGATATTAGAAGCGGAACGCAGATCTTCACCCGAAACCACGCATCGTACGAAAATCGACCAACAATCAATGCGGCGGCTGGTTTTGGAGGGATTGGACTCTGCGGATTACAAAGTTACACAAGCAGCAGCGCTTGCTTTTCTTCAATCCAAAGTCTTTTTGATAATCAGTGAGGCTCAGGCTCTCCGGTCAGTCGACCTAACTTTTGTGGGAGGAGGATACTACCGCCTGAAAATTCGAAAATCCAAGACGGACCAACACGGCAAGGGAGCGGTCATCAAGTTTCACCTGGACAAGGTCGAAATGGCATTGTTGCGCAAGTACCTGGGTCAGTGCACTGGCGCGGTTCACATTTTCCAATCCAGGTCCACGGGAAGGCCTCTCTCAAGCGCAACCCTGAGGGATAGGCTTAACTGCTTTTTAGGGTTTGCAATTTGGAACATTTCAACTTTACCTCTCATTCTCTCAGGGGTGAGGCAGCATCGCTCGCTCTTAGCCTAGGTGCCGAACAAACCGCGGTGATGATGGCCGGTAGATGGAAAACGATCAACGCCTTTCGATACTACGTGGCTCCCAAGGCAATTCCACTACCAACAGACCCTACCTTCAGCGGTGCGCTTAACCTTGCTCAAAATCGCCCGGAACTCATGTACTGATTTTCACTTTTTGTTTTTCACTAGGTTTTCGCACGAGAAGCTCTCCACCTTCGGGCTTGATTCTGCCTTCTTCGATCATTTTATACATCTGCCCGTTCGTTGCATCTGTTTACCCGCCTTTATATGCGCAGTATTAGATTCCTCGCATCTATTTCATTGATAGTATAACCATTTTGATATTCCGTTTCTTGTACGGAAGAATCTCATTCATCGGGGTTGCAAATTTACAGGTTTCCTCTGAGTACCTACTTTTGGCTTCATAGGGCACATCGCTACCGTATTATGTTGGTTATTGATCCCGGGCAGCAGCCTAATGGGAGATCATTTCTGCCTGTATTATTTTCATTGCGATTCCCGAAAACGATATTGTTGTAATTTAGTGTTTTTCATATCTGTGTAAAAATGGGCTTTGTGCCTGAGGTCATTGTATTGATTTCGTGTATACCAATGCGATTAGTGATCGGAACAAAAACATATAACTTAAACTTCTACATGTATATTCCATGTCAGACTCTATCTCACCTCATTCTCAAGCTCCTAGTTCATTTCATATCTCAGGTAGCGTGTTCTTGCATAGATCTGAATTGTATGCCTATCGCTGTTCTATTCTGTCGATTCCGAGGATAAGACTCATTACGTTGCACCATTATTCCTTAATTCACATATCTCATACAGTTGTACGCTCCGACTGCCCACCACAATAAACCCTTTCTGCACGGCTCCTGTTTTGATCAATAGTTCAAAACGGTATTTGTACCAGAGTATAACGGAGGTATAATTGCACCAGCTGCCAGCGCAAGGTTGGAGCCTATCGGCAACGTATAGCTCCCTAAACCCGACAAACCCGACACAACCTGAGGCGTGAACGCGGTTTTAACGCAAAGGAGTTATAGGGCTTATCAAATTGAATGTCGTTTGCACCGGCTTCTCCATCTTCGCGCTGAACTCTGCGTCTCTTCCGCAGGGCTCTTCTCTAAGCACTTTCCCAGGGCGAGCGTGGGAAAGGCGGAGCAGCAATCGATTGGAAGTCATTAGGGTGCGTGTACCGCAGAAGAGACGCAGAGCCCAGCGCGAAGATGGAGATACTGGCGCAAACGACACTCAATTTGATAAGCCCTATACAATGGTCGCGCCGAGCTCGTCCGCTCAACCAGTAATGCTTTTGCGGAGTAAAACAATCTAACATAAATATTAGCGGCGGACAAAGGGGTGGAAACTATATGTCGCCGAATGAGGTGGTTCCACGCAGACGTCTGCGACAGTTCGTTTTGTAGCAGCTTTTTATGCTGCTACAAAACGAAGCCTTTTTTATGCTCAATCCTAGCTCATTAACGGTTATTTTAGGTACTTCTAATGTTGATTTCTTTTCCAGTTCACGATGAATTTCTTTTCTACAAATATGTATAGTCGTAATCACATCTCGAAGACCTCTGTCTCTGCGCGAACGCTTCTCTACTTCGCAAAACTGAGTGCTCTGGCAATAATAAAATACGTAGAGGCTACTCATGACGAAAGCGCAATATCTTGGGCGCGACTGCGGTCTCAGTAACTGCAGAGCGCATGAGGCGCTGGCTTCACAACGATAAAGATACGCGCGCGCAGCGTTAGCGCCCGCTCAACTAATACTGCTTCTGCGCCTTCGTGAAATAGCATCCTTTATCTTTTTGAAGTTTTAAATTGTTAGAAGGTGTGATTCAAACATACACCAAGTAATGCAGGATGGGGAAGAGAACGTTTGCAAGTAGTTTTGTAAGTAGTAACTCGACTGCGAGCTGAGTCCATTGCCGCATATCCACACCGGTAATGGAAAATATGAGAAAACCCTTTCGTAAGCTTAGAAAATTATTCTAAAGTCAACTGGACTCGAGCGCCGTGCGCCGTACACGCTCTTTTTTTCACCACAGACGACTTCTGCGAGAAAGTAAGCGTGGATTTACTTGAAAAAAAAAGAACGTCGAGATGGATTGAAAAAGTGTAAAACATCTAAACTCGACCTCATCACTGATGATTATATCAATATGTGCTACCCGCTCACTTCACTTTTGACTCAATACCTGCAGAATAAAGCATTTTAAAAAGGAAAAATGATTTTGCTCGGTTCACATATGTAATCGTGTTGCCTTTCAACGCAACTTTTATTTGTGTTTGAAAGCAATGAAAAAAATCTTTTATCGCGCTATAATTTCTCTCTTATTGCGCTATAACTTCAAGATTGTTTCTTCCATTAGAAAAAAAAACATTTGGATGAGGCTTGTTTTACATCAGATATTCCACTAGCCTGTTTACGGTAATAAAATTTTGCTTGTATCCATCGATTCTTTACAGAAAAATTCGCTCGAAAGCTGAGGCTCAAATTATTCTGCTTCTCTTTTCCTTGCTTCGTGAATTGACCATAAAGTATAACCGAAGAACTTGTATAAATAGCATTGATTTTACTTCAAACACATTCTAGCGTCTGCCGTCAATCCCTGTCAGGCGAATAGAAATGCTTCCAATCCTCGCTGTACTTACATTTCTTCTTCTAACAGAAGCCTTCCCGCTTGACAAAGGTCAGAATTTGCATATGAGGAGTAGATCTTGTCAAATGAGCACAATAAGCAATATTTCAGGTTTGAACCAGATTGGACAGCATCGTTATTACGACTGTAAGTAAAACTTTTTTTGAAACCAATCTGCATGTTGGCTTTACAAATACAAACAGACCATAGCCGTCAAATTAAACTTCAAAAAAGTGTTTCATCGAAAATTTCATAAAGGTCAACCAAATTTACAAAGGAGACAGGATCGTCGAACGTGCAAATACCGTACGACGTAGTGAGATACCTAGGATTTCCGTTAGGGGGGGGGGGGGGGAGACAAAAATTTTCGGATGAAGGAAAGCATTTAGAAAAGCATCCCAAAATGATTTTAGGATACTTTTCTAAATATTTGTTGGCTTCTGACCTTCAAATTTTGGAAAAGTAGGCTTTCCCGGGGCTGGATGCACCGCTGCCACACCCCGGAATTTTATTACAAGGGCAGATGTTTGTTCAGTTTGCCAAAAAAGCTTCACTGTAAGCTAGCAAAATTGAAAATTCAGAAAGGCTACGACCCACCGATGGATCGTATTGTCGTGAATGTGTTAAGATGTATGCTGTATATATGTCGTATGCCATATGCTTTCTGAACTTTCAAATTTGTTATCTTACAATGAAGCTTTTTTGGCAAACTGAACAAATATCTGCTTTTCTAAAAAACATCTCCGGTCCGACCACCGGTGGATCGTTTTGTCATGGATGTGTTAAGACCTTGAGAATGATTTTAGCAGCCATTTCATTAGTGGCTCCAAGCGTTCCGATGAAAGCCCTAAATTTTGGCAGATTCAATCAGACTTCAATGTTAAATGATCACGTTTGTGGCAAGCCATAGCCGAAAAAATTCGTTTCTTATTACGCGTCTCTTGGAAGAGAAATAGAAAAGCTCACAGAAAAATAACCTATGGAAAATCAGCTTCTGGATCTTATGAGTTTCAGACGATGCATTCCCAACTCCACCGCCTGGAAAGTATCTTGTGACGAGAAGAATTCTACAAGGTAGTTCTTGATAGCTGTGACAATCAAAGCCATTAATGCGTTAGGAAAGGGAAAAGTTTAAAACTTAGATCCTGAACTTGGACTCGACGATATAAGATTAATTGCTCCACATTTAAGACCTCCTAAAGTGGAAATCGGTAACTGAATCACTTTTCTGAGTTCTGAATCTATTCAATGTTTTAGTAAACGGCCGGTGGTTCGCCCCTGACGAAGATCTAGAGCTTGATCGTTACGGTATCATAGCATGTTTCCTTCTCAGGACTCAGCACAGCTGGCACCGGGTCAAGCTGGATATCGTTTTTAGGGCGAAAAGCAAAGGGGATATCTATCGTTTTTACAGGGGCCGAGGCGGAGAACTGCCGCAAAAATGCCGCCGGAATGCCACCGGCATGCCATTGGCAAGCTGTCCATCAACAAACAAAGGTGTTGTTTTCAGCCAAAACGCAATAGTATGACACCAAATTTGGTGTGTGCATGCGCGTTGGTGGACCGGAACTACGAGCCCAAAATTTATGAAAACTTATGTGAATGAAAGCTGTGCCGAACTTTTTTCTGAATTAGCTGGCACCGTACCAGCTGGGTGCCATTGCTCACATAAGTTTTCATGCTTTTTTACATAAAATGTATCTACATTGTAAAAGATTACATACGGAGAAGACTCAGTTTCATAATGTTCTCTTTTCAGCGTTTTATAGCAATTTGAAAACCACTCGTTCCGCTCCGCAGTCGAAAAACCGGCTTTTTCTGCTTCTAATGATGTGATTCGACCACTTAAAAAGCTTAGAAAGCTATGAAAAGTTCTTTCATGAAATCAGAAATGCATGAAAACACTACTACATTTTTTACGTAATATAAAAATGATGACGGGTTTTCAAAACAGGTCAAAAGGGACTTCGTACGAAATTTTCAATATCAAACGGGACTTCGTTTTGAAATTTCCCTGGTGCCAGCTTGTGCCGAGCCCTGTTCCTTCTTGTTCAATATCTGAGTTTTCGTAATGGCTTACAGGAAAGCGTCCAAGGCATCCACTCCTGCGCTTCAGTGAGTCCTCCTCAATTGGTAATCAGCGTAAATGGCATCCACTCTTGCGCTTGAGTGAGTTCTCTTCAGTTGTTAATCATTCATGGCATACACTGTGCAACATTTGATGATGTGATAAACTTCCAGACATTACTTTCAGGAAAATTCCACAAAGATGGGTATGTGCCGGACGAAAAAGGTATGCCTTCGATGTCTGAGCTGATATTATTTTGCTCGAAAATCACGAGTCTTACCTTTTCAAGTGTAGTGCTTGAACACATATTGCTTATTAGAGCGCTTCAACCCAACGCAGCTAAGGCAATCAACAGAAAAATTAGGTAGAGCAGAGCTTTCTACATGAGCAAAGCTGCTCTCAAGAATCCATCCTTTGATATCATGTGACATAAACACGCTCTCAGGCTTCGTAATCCAAATACGATTTATCGGTCAAATGTGGGTAGAAATTTATGGACAAATTTTAATGTCTGCTTCAATGAATGCTTATTTTTGCATGCCCACCATAGCAATTAAGTCTTTTATGGGGTCAATTCTGTTTGTTCTTTCAACCTATCACAAAAAACCGTGCAAAGGCAAACAAGCGTTTTGAACACCATTCGACGCTGCTTTCTTTCCCCTTTCAAGCACTTATGTTCTTGTGCTGTTACTCTGGTGGTCACTGAAATAACCAACGAATTCTTGAATTCATAGTTTACCATGTCCAACTTTTTCCATTTTTAAAATTCTTTCTTTCGAACTATTGGAAAACACTCCATGGCCGTCAGCTAGCGTAGACAAAGTGCAATGTTAAGCAATTTTTTGGCACATCTTGAATTGGTTTTCAGTATTTTTCAAAATAACTTTTCCAAAAGTCTTCAATTTTGCAATATACACAGACGCTCCAAACTGATAAATCCACAAAATTTAAACCTGTAAAAATTGATTATGATTACACATTGCATCAACAAATCAACTGAGCGCTCACGCGTCAAATTATCAAATTTCGCAACTTACAGTTACAGCCTGGGGCGGGTCTAAAATCAAAAATCATGATAATTTCTTCGTCAAAAACTTTACAAATCGGAAAGGGAAAACGCTTGTCCGAGGAGAAAAAAATGCATCAGTACCCGAGTTAATTGAAGTTTGATGTTCCGCTCAACCAAATATGAAATTTGAACATTAGAAAATAATCCTGGTAATTTTGAGAAACCGGTGGAAGATGAGAAAAAAATCATAGTTTTGCACTTTGTTTGCTCTACCCAGCTATTATCGAAACTACTCCAGAATTTTAATACAAAGACTGTGAGAAAGTGCCAAACTTGGACATAGTAAAAGCCATGGTTTCAACATTCATCATTCACACACACACAACAAAGATCTTAGTAATCATGAAAGCAAACGGTGGCAAAGCACTACTGCTGGAAAGGAGGTAGAAAAGCTGCATTAACTTTGAAGTGCTTTCTCAAGTTTATCTCAGCGTTTTTATGATTGAAGGAAAAAACGGAAAGAACTTTCAAAACGACCTAATATTTGAGCAGTTCTAGTTTTTAGCAGCTTTTTCCCACCCTTAATCCGTCCATCAATCACATTTTAATTGCAATTTCTGCATCCAATATCTTTGGCAAAAAATGGACATCAAAATTGCTCAGCACAGTCTCACTTCAATTTTTCAGTTGTTCGCGTGAGAATACCGAAAAGAAAATACCGAATCAAAGGTGAGCTTATATTCAAGGATATTAGCACTATTTTTCCATCTACTTCCGTAGAACAGCATAATCTTCTAGCAAGCCAAGAATGTGCTCGCTACAACTTCAAAAATGCCGCAATGGCATTTTCAATACCGAATTATTCACATTTGTATGCTAGAAATGTAGTGAAGACGAGGACCATGCATTTCTACGGAATATTAACTCGAAATAGTTACGTCAAATCGTAGAAACATGATCTTTTGTTTTACAGATGGTGAAATTGTTCCTTTAACACGCCCTTGAACAATAGGTGAGTAAAAATAAAATACTATTAATGAACATGTGCTGACCACAGAAGTATTACAAAAAGTTCTTAAGTTGCTGGCATAACCAGATTTCAGTGTTAGATTAACATACACCTCTCTAAGTCTTCTTGGGCGAATATGCTTAACGGCTTAGCAGTTTGATGAGACATAAAGACGAGGAGATGTGCCTCTTGTCTGGAGCTGTACGGATCTTTGCAGTTTCACTCATTCGGGCCGGGCTAAAAAGGGGGAAAGTGGTATAAACCAACATTTCGCAAATACCTCTACTTCAAAGTTGAGAAACAAAACCATAGCAGTTCATGGTCACAAACACATTGTCGTTGTGAGAGTCTATCGTCGAAATTGGGTGTGAGTGGGCTTAGCTTGGGCAGATGTTGGATGGGCGAGTCAAAACATTTCTTGATCAAAAAGCAATTTTAGAGAGGATCTTCTGCTCCACTGCTTATATCCCTCGACTTTGATATACCAATTGAGGAGGGTGCATAAATTTCGATTACGTTGCAAGTATATAGAAAAATGTTTGTGCTGAAGTGGTAGCAGCTGATGAAATCACCTTGCAGCCTAATACCTGCAATTTTTACAGGTCACTGAGGAAGTCGACACACGAGAGTGAACAAGACAAATAATAAAGTTTATCCGCTTTTCTCGTCAGATGCAGCAAAAAGCTAAGACACAGGTGACTTCCTGAGAGAAATTGCTCGGTTCCTGCAAAAAAATAGTTGACCTCAATTTTCCAATCAAATATAGTTAAACTGCAAATAGATTGGATAGACAGAGAAGGGATGATTGTTTAAGTGAAATATAACATTTGCAAAATGTAGCATTGTGTGTGAGCCACGTGGCCACATGATGGGATCTACACAGATTTCGGCACGTTGAGCATCACAATGTGCCGTATGTAGAGCTCGCTGGTATTGTTCAATGTGCTAGCTCAGGGCCAAATGCAAGCTTTTTAGCTATTAGGTAGGCACATAAGTTTTGCAATGTTATGACTTCGTTCTTTTTGAATGAGGTGCACCTATTTCTGTGTAGAATTCGAATGTGAGCTACAAATTTGCACAAAGGTTTAACTTTCAAAAAAATCCACGCTTGCCCCAAACACCGGCGAATCGATTCTCTAGCAAAAGTGCCTAACAATCTGAATCAAACACATGGAGATGAAATAAGCAAAGTATGGCTAAATTTGACTCATAAAGCCCTGAAAAAGACGAGAGAGAAAACAGGGACACACTAGAAACGGTCTGAAATTTGACATCCTCCAAAAATTGAACAAGTCGTCGTCTTTGAGTCTAAGGAATATCTGTCCGTAACTAAGGAGGTTAACAAAAATAATTAACATGCTTAAGACAAACACCATATCCATTTATTCTCAAGATAAAAAACGAAAAAGGTCTTCTTACTCTGGTATAAGTATCGTTTTTATTTGTAGAACAGCCCCTCCTCCTCCCCTTGACCACGTGCTCCTTGACCAATGCTTTAAAGTTGTACTTTTTCGTAAAGCTACCGTAATCCTGCAGTGGCACGCAGTGGCAGAATTCCGCAGAAATGGCTCCATTTGCAGCTCACATCATGCTTGTCACCACAAAATGAATGCTTTGCGTCAAAAAGACAAAAACCCTATTTTCGCGAGTACAGGAGCACCTTTTCCATTTTTTCGAATAAACAACTCGGCCTCGCCATTATTCTTCGTGGTCGCTATTCCACACAATTCTTCAGGTCAGGAGCAGCATGTCCTTTAGTCGCGAATTTCTTTGTTATGTTCAGGTTTATCGGGTTCAGAAAAAAGTCAATACATCTTGTACTAGAGCGATTATGGTAATGTAAAAAGTTGCAATATCTGAGTTTCGGGTGTCTAAGTGTGTGAAGTGAGATGTGTGACTGTCAAAGTTGAAACGTGGAAACCTTTTCTTCGCCGAAAGAATGGCACGGATTTTTCAGACATTTAACGAACCCAGAGATTATCAAATTCAAGCGTCTGTCAGGAATCATTCCTGCATTATGTGGTTTCCTGAGTTCTATCAACAAAAGTGACAACAGATTTTCAACCGCTTTCTCCCAGCTTTCTATGTACGTATGCTCTTGCGCTTTGCAAACTATAGTTTTGCTATACCTTCCTGAATTCTTTTAGTCGAACTGCATCCCCTCTCTCCTCCAATTCCTTTCCACCCAAAAACTTTCCTATATGAAACTTCCCGAACTACCAATCTTTTCTCGCATTCTCACATCCTCCACATCTTACTCAATTGCTTTCGAATCTTGCCAAGGTTGAGAAAATGTGAACTTGCAACTTTACAGTCTGTATCCCGAATCAGGCAAAATTAACATGATGCGCTGCGCACGCCAAGATTCCGCGTCATGTCGGCGGTTTGCGTTGGTGGTTATGCTGTCTGCTCTGTTCTCTGCTTTCCTTCGAACTCTCCTGCAACGGAAAAGGCAGCGCAAACCCTTAGCATTAGCGTGCGTTTTCGAGCCAACATTTCAGCGTGATCACCTGTCGACAACTGTAATCGCCACAGTAGTTCATTTACACAATTTGCGAATATCCTCCGATACCCTCAAATTTTTACATTCAGATAATCTCTGACCGAAGTGGCCGTTGCAAACTGGGCAAGCTTTTTCCAGCTATGTACATTCTCTTGACTAATTTCACTCGGGACCCAGTTCTCCTCATCGACTGTCCCTACAAACTAATCTCTGGGGCATGAAACCCTAGGGTGAGGTAAGCGATGTCCCGCTCATGAAAGGCCGTGGGCGGCGAACACCGCTGCGGCTTTAGTCAACATTCCAACTTTTATAACCTACAAAATTTTCTAAATCAAAAAAGCGTCCCTTCCTCTTCACAAAATATGCTTTGCTAGAAACGTGCACAAATCCATTCTAAAAAAAACTCTAATGCCACGTTTGCGTTTTATACGGGCTTTTCAAATTGTTCAACACCTAAGATTCTACCCAACTTTAGAGTCCACCCCATTTTCCAACTCATCTTGGTAGGCTGCTGACTTCAATTCTATTGAGAGAGCTACTGTTAGAGTATATCCAATTTCAGCTGTTTATTCAAGCAAATCTTCGATGTTTTTACTATTTTGAGGATGTGCAATGTCCTGACATAGTTGCGCTGAGAATTTTTCTGAGGTCAAGGGTTCAGTTGATAGTTAGTGAAGCCCTCTTTTATCTCTTTCGTTCAGATTGATACACCGACAGTAGACGGACAGCATGTGGCTTTTTTAAAGACGTCTATCACGATCGCAGTGACCTTTTTTACAGTCTTCTGAATTTTTTTGTCTTTTGAGAAAAAACCGAAATTCTAAAATGAAGTCTTCTGTTGGAACCTACAATTTAGTTGTTAAGAGAGTTTTTTGCATCTAGTATAAAGCTTCAAGAAAATTCGCATCACCATGTTTTTAGCGCTTGGTAGATAATAATCTGCTGGGTCGGTAGTAATCTGGTTTAAACTCCGAGTTTGAAGCTCCGCGTTAACTCAGAGATAACTCTGAGTTCCGTTTTTGAAACTCTGAGTTACGCTTATTGAAACTCTGAGTTCCGCTTTCGTAATTCCGAATTCCAACTCTCAAGCTCGGAGTTTTGCTTTGAGGAGCTGCTAAGCACTTTGCTGCAAAAACGACGTTAAAGTAGGGACTCGCACCTGTACGGTCTGGCGTAAAGATCCTATCACTAAACCGCTAGACCATGACACACCCATGAATCTTAAAATTGCTTTGCCATAATGTACTCACTCACTCCATTAACACTTAGCATGTCAAAACAAGTTATACCAAAGCCTCACTCATTTCCATTTCTATCGGGCAGTGATGGTTTATCACGAGGATTGGTCTTTTGCGCAGCTGAAAGCTTCAAACAATATAGAAAGCGGATAGCATACGCAATAATAAGAATTGACTATTAGGTTTTGCGCACAGAATAAATCCTCCGGGCAAAGTTGCCCTTCCATGATTTCGTCTTACTTACCGTATACCTACCGTAACCGTTCCATATGTCACCAGTGTATGTAGCAGATAGATTGTCCGTAATCTGCATCCCGAATAACTCCAGTGTACCAAGTTTCGATCAGTTCCGTGATTTTCTCCTATCTACCGTAAACCTACCGTAACCTCGTCAGAAGACACCACAGTATAATCTGCATGTCATATTCGTTATCGGTGCCACAAATAACCCCAGTGTACCAAGTTTCGATCAGTTTCGTGATTTTCTCCCATCTACCGTAAACCTACCGTAACACATCTACATGACCCCATAGTGAAAAATGGGAACCATATGCGTGAACAGCGCACCGAATAACCCCAGTGTACCAAGTTTTGATTAGTTTCGTAATTTTCTCCCATCTACCGTAAACCTACCGTAACACCTCTACATGACCCCTTAGTAAAAAATGGGTACCATATGCGTGATTAGCGCACCGAATAACCCCCTGGGCCAAGTTTTTACAAAATTTCAAAATTTTGTAAATCACTGCGCACCACGATACCCCCATCATGCCTGCTTAAACTACGAGCAAAATGTACCCCGGAGGACTTTTTAGCTGCCTCTCTTCTTTTGCGCGCTATTTCTCTTTCTCTGACCAAACTCAGAGTTATCTCTGAGCTACACGATAGACTGTAACGCGCATCAAACTCAGAGTTATCGCAGACACTAGTTGCGCGTTTGGTGGCGCTGTTTCTTGTGCAGGACGATTTGGACAATGTTGCGCTACTAGGAATAAACTACGTGTTAAGGAGAATCCTGCCATATCATCGCTTTTCGCATTTGATCTGTTCAAACACCTGTTAAGGGGGTCAAAATGTTGCGCGTTAGCTCAGAGATAACTCAGAGTTAACTCTAAGTTATAACTCTGAGTTTCGATAGGTTTACTACCGACCCTGGAAAGTTCACAAATGTTGAGATGTCAAGTGAACAAAATCATAGACTTTTGAAAAGATTAGACCTTACAATTACATTTGCATGTGAACGAGGAGTCGAACAGGTTTTATTTTGGTGTTCAGTAGTTCGATTTTATGGTAAACGTTACTGAGAAGCCTAGTTAGCGCAAAATCAATGACCAAAGGTTGCACTTACGCGACTGAGTCGAATCAAAACGTGAACAGTATGGAAGCGAGCCAAAGTGCAAACTTAAGACAAAGATTCGGACGAACATCTATCGCGGGTTGTTGACGTGCGATAGGCCCTTCTGCGTAAAATCATAGATTATTGGATGTGGATGTTGTTCGTGTCAATGCATGTGCCTTAAAACTGTCTTATCACTTATAAAGAAGTAGTGTACTCTTATAGTTTATTGAAACCGAAGCATTGAGGATGACACTATTACCAGCTATCATTAGTCATGTATAGACATGTATAAACATGTTTTTTGGCAAGAAAATTTTGCGCCAAAGCGCATTTTTCTAATAATTTGCCTTTTTATCCGAAAGCAAGCTTCTTATGCAACCTTAAGGAAAGCTCTACACGATACATAAAAAGACCATGAAAGCTTCAGATTTTGAAAAAATCAAGATTGTATTATTTTTTCACCACCTGGATCATTTTTCTGGTTTTTTAAAAGATGTGTCAAAATAAGCATCTAAAAATGCAGGGATATGTGCAAGTAGAGTGAAAACGTGAAGATAGAATCAATAATTAATTATATGAGAGTTTGAGACGTGATTCAAACGGAGGGTATTCACAAACACCGTCAAACGATGTACAACTTGAAAACTATACTGTTTAGAATAATGTAAAGAAGTTTATGGTATTTATAAAGCTAAATACCCATTTCTACGTATGTTTGTACGTATGTATTTGTAAAAACTGCGTTTTAAAGAATCTGCAAAGTGATTTGCGTTGATTCAAGCCACTGATAAATCTATAGATTGAACAAAAAATAACCTGAGACAACTCGACATAGTCACTGAGGCTCTCAGAAACAAATAGTCGCAGCCGTCATCATTGTATAACAGCATAGGCGAAAAAAGCTGAGGTCTGCCGAAATCGTGGTGATCATTGTTGGTTCAATCTATATACTTCTAAAGGAGAGGTATTTTTCTGCACAAAAATCTTAGTGTAGGCTTTTAGTTCCCTTCTGGAAAGATTTTGATGCCTTTTCAACAAGATCTTACTAAACTGCTCTGTGCATGTCACAACGAATGTCTCCAACATACCTTAAGAATCAAGATTCCAAAAATCGTAGATAGACTGAATAGTGGCTTGCCAGCTATCGTAACCATTACCTTTGGCAGTACGGCAATTACGACGATATGTAGGAAGTACAAGTGGAGTGAAGCTTTCCTGCAGATTATTAGAAAATTGTGCACATCGCTCTTAACATAATTGATCTCATACCCATCATTTCACGATTGCAAATTGTATATGCTTACTGATCTACCTTAATTTCAAGAGTTCTAGACGCACTTGTTTTTTTTCTGAACTCAATCAGCTTGAACAAGCCAAGTATGCGATTAAAGGATCCTCTACCTTGTTCTCCTTACTTGAAATAAAGTGTGGGAAAACGATCATTTGCCGAGTCACAATGTTGCGGCCGAGCTGTGGTCTAGAAAAATTGAGGAGGTGGATCTCGTGTCGTGAAATTAGGATAATGAACAGTCAATGCAAGGTTCCAAACAAAAGTACGGTCTCTTTGCAAAGACCTGCTTTCTGCTCTCGACTACTGTACACTACGTTACTCGACAAGGTAGTGCACTGCACATCATTAGGCCACGAATATGACATTTTGCTATTAAACAAGGTTTGAAATTTAACTTGGTTGGTAAACAAAACACGTGTTTTGAAACGAGAATTGATTCAAATCTACCAGAAAAGCGCTTGTTCCAGTATTTTTCAATTAAGTGATAGAAAAAACTTGCAGTTTGCTATAGCAAAATGAGATAAGTTTCGTGGCCTAGATTTCTGACCAAAGAAAGATTGCGTTGAGTGATCGCGTTCAGACAGATTATGATTTCTCAGCACGCAGTTTACAACAGCAAAGTGAATTTTCTTGTATTCGGAAAGTTCGACACTTTATGGGAACGTCCAATCACAAACTTTGTGAACAAGTAGGTCGTGATCACCTTGTGACTACAAATCAGCTACAAGTTTTCAGATTCACACATCATAGAGAGGCCGATGCACAAAGTCTAAGTCTTCCTGTCTGCCGATCAAGTTTATGCAAACGAACATAGAAAAAGATGTTTTTTCAGAATGTTTCTGATTGAAGAAAGCATTGATCACGCTATAATTTAGATTCGTGTTATTATTTTAAAGTTTAACGACTTTTCATATATTATGTTATTTGCAGAAATAAATTTGTGCGTCTGCGATATTAATCACTTTATCGCCGAATTTCATGCGTTTGCTAAGGCCCATCTTTTACGCCATGCATATAACGACGTAGTTTTATACAAGGCTTCATTTTGCACCAGGAGGCAATCTAGCATATGTCGCCTCACCTAAACATCAAAAGGATGCTCTCAGTCTTGATTGGCCTTCCTTTTCTTCTCGTTGTTGGTGCTAGCTTCTTTGAAAAAGGTCAGGTTTTTGAATGAGAAGCAGACAGGCATTCTCCATAACTAATACATGTAAATAGTTAAGAAAGAATTTCAGACATGCATAAAATTGGACAGCAAGTATACAAATGTGAGTTATATTTTTATTGAACTGCTATCCACACATCACAAGTGCATTTAATCGTAAAGTCTCGCAAGATTTGATCTTCAAATTTGAAAACCGAATAGCTTTCAAACCTTTTTTAGGGAAAGAAAACGAAATTACAGCTATACAACATTTGAGAGTTTAAGTTTGCGTTCAGAACGATGCTCTGTAAATGTTGTAAGATTGTTCTTGATAGCACCTTGTAACTAATTTTAGTTATCGCATTTCCAACTCCACCGCCTATTCCAAAATATGAGATGCCAAAAAGGACTGCACGAGGCGAGCTTTGGGATATGGTGTCGGGATACCGCTCAGTTGCGAAACAAAAATTATTCGAAATTTTCAGGTCCTTTTTCGAAACGCGCACTGTCGCGCGATGACCCATGGTTTACACCGGAAGAGACTATTATCTTAGGTTTTTTAATGATCTTCACGTCCCGTTAAAGTTGAAGTTGAAAAATTGACTTTAGGGCCACCTCTAAAGCTTCCATTCTCGAGCTTTGATAGGTAAGCTGAAACTTGTTCATTTCGTAAGTATGCCTCGCAAACCTGACGTTCTCCAACGCTGTCTAATTCCTGAAATCGATCGAGCAGAACGAATTAATAAGCCGTGGTTTACAACCTGACGAAATTCAGAATTTTGAATCCATTGATATGACAGCGCAATATTTTTCCTATTGCGACCGATAACGAGAAAATCTCAGATGACCACGTTTGAATTTATCAATCACTAGCTTTGCAAATTGAATTCGTTGCATTCTTATGCAATATACAGCAGTACCTACGTACCCGACCTTTAGTTATAATAATTTCATATTCGAGTTGTTTTCAGAAGCAAACTGATAAAAATGACAAAATGGTGACGGATTACAGAGAAACGCTGGAAGTTGGTTCAAAATAATAAATTTTTTGTATTGGGAAAACACAGAATGTGTTCTGTTCTCACAAATTTTCTCAAAATGTGACTCAAGCGAGGAAATATATGTACGAAAAATATGGTTTTTTCTATTTATGAAGCTACATAATTAGTGTCTAATGTGGCAAGGAATGCTTTTTAGTCGAAGTGGACATTTGAAATAAGGATGATGTCTGAAGTCATTGGTAAATGATGATCTCGTAACTGCATGTACGATACAGCTTTTGGAAAATATACAATTTGACTATTTCAACACTTGGTAAAGGAGCACTAGTAGGTTTTTGACTTTTTTTCGTAAAAAAAACATTATTTTAGAATGCAGTTCTTAAACACAACCCATAAGACGAACTTACGTTGTTTGTAAATGGTTGATAATAAGCGCACTCGTGACCAGCTCACAATGCATTTGCGGTGGTTACGCACACAAGCAATTTCAAAGAACACATTACACACAAGCACCACAGAAATTCAAGCATCTGCTGACATAAGTTATCAAAGTCCTATCAAATAAGTTGTTCATTTTATATTAGAAAATAGCGAGGCTTTGGCAAATGGTGTTCTAAACTACTAGGTTATTCAGAAATTTGTCCGTTTCTTCAAACCACTATAAAACCACGCACAATAAAGATCTGAACGAGTTTCAAAATGCATTCGATGCAGTTTTTTCTTCTCTTTCTTGAGAATACATTTCCGAAGTACAACCTTGTATGCTTTTTTGACTATTGTGAAAATTCTTCACCCGTCAATTCCAGTTGCTCGAGGTTCGGCTAGTTTTCAAAAATTTCATTCCAAAGTTCCGGCAAGGATTAAGTATGGCGCCATTGAAGCAAATCTTGGGCTATATGGTAATGTCTTAAGAGTTTCCTAATCTGCTGTTTTAGCTTCAAAAAACCATTTCTTCGGAGGTCTCAATTTTTGGCAAAGTCATGAACTGCAGCAAATACACGACTTTCGAATTTTATGCAAACTGAAACAATATTTTTTCTATACATTATTTATGCAACATAACCAAGTTTGATTTGCTTTGAGAGGCAGCTTTTTGAAATTTTCGGGACTCTTACGTATTAAACTCAATCAAAAAGCTGCAGTTTTTATCGAATAAATAACTATAACGGAGGCTTGGTAATCGTGACCCATGTAATCTAAAATGGATACAATGCAGCCGAAGGTTTGCTCTACATATTGCTTACCAGCGCTCTTCAAAAACATAAGGGTGAAATTTTTTTGAAATTCAGGAAAGATTTGGCGTTACTGCTGAGCTGCTCTAAAAGCCATGGCGATAGCATTGCAAAGACAGGGTAGATCAGAGAGCAGACGTAGCTGTAAGAAAGAGGATAAAAACGTGAATCAAATTGTACCTAAGTCGTCCGTGTACTGGTGTTCTGTACGCTTCAGTGAGCGATGAGTAAAAAACGGACAAAACTTTCGGGATAGCCTGATAATTCAATAGCGGCAGCGCTTATTGACGAGATACGAAAGCAAGCAATATTTCGCTCAAAGAAAGCACTGCACTGCACCGGCCTACACCTCACAACCAGCGTTCAACCATTTGTTTCCTAATTAACGAGCTCGCATGCTTTTGCGCAAGAAACTTTCATTGCTGTGGGCCTCCACACAAAGAAGAAGCAAGCAGTTTTTTGAACCCCCAAATGGGGACAGATTGGAGGAAATTTCTGCCGTGAATATGTTATTTGCAAAGCTTTTGGATAGCACAGGCTGCGGCAAAAGTCTGAGAGCACATATGTGATCATCCTTTACAAATCACGCTTCACCTAGCTAATTGCCTACCATATGTTTTTGTAAAAATTTTATTGAATAAGCGCTTCTGCAGAGCGAATATTCTAAATTTTCTATCATTTACAATTTTTTCGTAGCTAAAGATACTGTGAATGATCTATACACTTTGATGTTAGAGGAGGCTTTGAGCTATCACATCAGTTGTGTTTGGTGGTTGCGCTTGTTTCTTTCAGAAACTCAAAAATTTGCCAAAATTACCTGCGTGCCAGTGGCCATCTGTCTCTCAAACGATAAAAGCTATAGAGTTTCAAGCTATGCTAGAAAGCTATATTCTTTCCACAAGTCTTCTATATAGGCATCTACTTGAACTCGGTTGATGGAGCCATTTCAATAATTTTTAGATCATGATATTCCGCTTCTGTTCGCGCTATCACATCCAAATTTCCAGTATCGGAGGACACTTGCCTTTTTGATTTTCCAACAAATTTTTCACAAACATTGCAAAAATCCTTTCTATAAAATGTTGTAGCCAAAAGCTTGTTCTATAATGCTGCACATTTGCCTAGTGAAAGAAGAGTTTATCGTGAATGCATGAGACGAATTTTATTACAACTTCCTGCGTGAAACGACGGGTAGATTCTGCAAGATTTTCAAGGACTACTTCGAAGCCAAAAGGGACAATTTCAAAATTTAACAGCTGTGCTGTATTTGCAAAGGTTAAATTATGTGTGCACCAAACTTTTTCTTTCTAGGGACTTTCCTTTTGTTTTACCTGAAAAACTACTAGGCCAGACTTTTGCAGCACTCTGCACTTCATTTAGTGCTTCAAAATCAGCTTCAATGTGAAATCATGGGCCAGATTTGCCTGGACGCGAGCCCTTTTTTCATTGCGTAGGTTGTGTAGCCTAGGCTTCTCGCAGGCCGGTCATCCAAGTCCAAAGCATTGCGAGCATGCGTGAGTGCTGACGTTACAATATGTTGCGAAAAGAAAAATCAACTCACCATAGGCGTTGTTTTTGGAAACATCAAGTCTTCACTATCACTGTAGATTTTCTTGGAGCCCGACATCAATTACCGAAAGACCAAGTAATTAGTAAATGGATCGTGCCAGCTGTGCTTTGTTTTAGCTCCAACTTTAGACTCATCGACTGTGTCTTTTCCAATAAATTATTGCTGGTAGCTTTGTTATGAGTAACTGGTGACAACTTTCGAGAAGTGAGATAATCTTTCCATGAAAGCTAGTCAGTGCACGTGCTATGCATATGCATATGCTAGCCCGTTACATATTTTTAACGTAACAATGCAAAAACTTGGCTTGTAGAGTGCAGGGTGATTTCTTGCAAGCAGTCTTTCTTAGCAACCGTATCTCAACTACCTCGGAACCTAGGATTGCATTCTTGTTGAAAAAAATTTTTAAAATCTAATATGCATTGAAAAGCAAGAAAAAACGCTTCGCAGATATATGTGAACGTAATGAAGACAAAATCTTTCAGTACAGCTGCTTCTAACAAAGGCAACAAATCGGACACAACTATTGCAGCAAGCTAATATCTCCTGTTATAGGCGGAAAGGAATGCTGTTAGATGAGACCGTAAAATAGCATGCAAATCGACAAGATGACAATTTGGCGTTGATTTTAATGTCGAAAGATGCTATTTTGCATAACATTTAGGCTTATATGGACAGATTGCTATGTAAGCAGCGCATTATTGCTTCAACTTGCTACCGGTAGTAATGTCTTCTATTTTATTCGCGCTCCAGTTACTTCTTCTCATCAAAACATGTGCCGCAAAAGGTCGGTAATATTAAATCTTTAAATGGATTCTGAAAAGCAAAATATTTTACAGATTTCAACCCTGCCTTCATTGATAGTTCTTTGTTAATAAGATGCGAAACAATTGCTCTAAACTTGTTGTTCGCGCGTAACTGTAGAACAAAAAACTGCGACCTTACTCAAGTGTGAAAAATGCGAGTAGCACCATTTTTTGAAGTAATTTGTTTTATTCAGAATATGTCCATTGAGAAAACTTGTCGTGCAAGACTTGGGCGACCATATGATCGACTACATTGCATAAATTAAAAAGATACAGTTGGAATCACTCAAGTAATGCATCAAATTTGTTTCTAAACTGGCTCTAGTGGTTCCTATAAAGGTATGGGTGACAGAACATGACTGGCTTGCTTTGCATTTAGCGTAGAGGTTTTTGATTGATGGAATTTTGTGGTATGCTCTACACAGCTTTCCTCAGATGAGTAACAGCGCCAAATCGCCTATACTTTTTTAACTGCTTTCAGTGTGAAGAAACAAAATATTATTTGATGAATCGCAGTAGGTAAAATCAATGCAACTTTCTCAGTCATTTCTTTTTTTTGGCATGTTCAGGTCTTCCCAAATAATGCAGAAACTCAAAAGTAGGTAAACATTATACACTCACTCAATACAAACTCTATTCATCCTGTGATTAGCACGTTCGCTTGCCCTTGTACGGAGGGAGTGCAGGTCCTTCAAAGGCTCGCCGCTTATTCTGCAGGCGCACCCTTGATAGCCAATATTTACTTCGCTCCTACCTCGCACAGTCACACATTCCTGCATAAGTTCCCCTCCGAACAATTGCCTTGTTTCTCCTGGCATAATTAGAAAGGTTAGCACATAAGCAGAGCAAATGATTCCTTAGAAAACGAAAATGCAGTAAAATAGACGGATAAGCATTGTCCAGATTCGACTGTCACTCAATCTCGGCATAGTGAAGTTGTTTGGTTGTGGCTTGTTGAGCTGTAAACGGGGTGATTCAAATTTGGATTTCTGGCCAAAACGCCTCCAAAGCTTTCGCGCTAGAATTTCCGATTTGTATGCCAAGATCATGATTTTCGTCATGGAACTATCTATGCATGGCCGAGGGAGTTACAGAGTTCGATTTTTTGACCCGTTTAGGTGCTCCTACGCGAATACATGGAAGGCGCCCCGTCTCGCCGATGTACGTGTCTCCGCATGTCTGGCAAGTAATAAGGTACACTACTCCCGTTACCATGCAATCACCTTCTTTACCCTGAAGACATTATTATGCATTCCGGAGTCATGCAAAGCCTTTCGTATGCCCGATTGCGTACTAGCTGACATTTAAGGTTTGTAGGGGGCATCAACCACCCTTATCCAGTCCTATAGGTCCGCTTGTTGTACTAACCTCCTGACCGTCTGCTCAATCCCTCCGGGATGTGTGTTGAGCAAAATGGAATTTTTGCATCTGTTTCGGGAGGCGTGCAAGTGGTACCCGGGCAGTCGACTGCTGCCCAGTCAGCCGCCGAAGCTGCCGGCAGAGCCGCTGCAGGTGGTACAGTATTTGCTCTCGTCTACTCAAGCCGAGAGGTTTCCTCGCACCTCGTCGCGGTGAGGTATATCAGTGTCAGGGTATCCTAATATCTATACTTAGATACTTAGATGGCCCGTCTTCACGTGGCGTGCGGCCCCAGCACAAAAGTTGCCATTTTTCCCCGTCCCTCGCTTCAGACATCCACGATCTTTTTGGTTGCCATCGGTGGCTGCGTCCACGAGTTCCAGGTGCGATAAGCGTATCCAGCTGATTTCTCAGTTGGTCCATCCGTTCCACGAACACGTTTGGCCATCTCGTTGGTGGTCTTCCTCGGGGACGTTTGGCTTCGCGATGAATCCACTCAGATGTTCTTAGTGTCCATTTGTCGTCTGTTCTTCTCATGATGTGACCGACCCATCGGTGTTTCGCTCTTTCGCAACGTATTCCGCTGGGTCACGAAGACGGAACATTCTTCTCATATCCGTACTGCGAAATTCGACTAGATGTTGCTTGTGTCGGGTCATCTTCAGAAGACTGCGCTCGAGCGCTCTGTGGGTGGTCCGTAAAGTTTCGACGTGGCTACGGTGTCGGCCCAAGTCTCAGCTGCGTAACAGAGCGCCGGGAGAGCGGTTGAGTCGAACAGGTGGGCACGAAGCTCCGAGTTCGTCAGTTGGTCGGTGGCTTCCTTCAGAGGCTCGAAGGCGGCCCAAGCTGCTTTTCTTCTCTTGTTAAGTTCTTCCCTCAAGTCGACCTCCATGTTCATCGAACGTCCAAGATACACGTAAGAAGACGTCTCCATAATAGGGGGGGGGGGGGCTTCCAATTCCATTTCTGCATCTTCGCGTTCTTCATGAACTGAGTCTTCTTCCGAATTCGCAATCCGATCTTCTTCCCCACTTCGTTTAGTTCCTTCAGCATCGTCTCTGCTTCAGTGATACTGCTCGAGAAGAGAACGATGTCGTCCGCAAAACGAAGGTTAGACAGGAATCTCCCATCAACTCGTAGGCCTCTCTCGTCCCAGTCCAGTGACTTCATCACCCACTGCAAGGCCGCGGTGAACAGCTTCGGCGAGATTGTGTCGCCTTGTCGGACCCTCTTCCCGATTGGTATGGTCAGGAGGCGATGGAACAGCTGCATCGTTGTTGTACAGTCCTTGTAGCAGTTGGTTAGGGTCCTCACGTAGGCTGGGCCCACTCCTTGATCGACTAGCGCTGACAGGATGGCGTTGGTTTCGACGCTATCGAAGGCTTTCTCGTGGTCGACGAAGGTTAGGACGAGAGGCAGTCGGTACTCCCGGCAGACTTCTATGACTCTTGAAACCGTCTGGATGTGGTCCATGCAACTGAATCCCTTGCGGAATCCAGCTTGTTCTTAGGGTTGGGCTTCATCCAGTGCCCTAGATATGCGTGCGAGGATAATCTTCGTGAAAAGCTTGTACAGCACACTCAGCAGGCATATTGGACGGTAGTTCCGAAGATCCTCCCTTTCACCCTTCTTGAAAAGAAGGATGGTTCTTGACGTTCTCTACTGGTCGGAAATCCTCTCCTTCTGAAGGTAAGATGTCAGGTGCGACGCGAGAATCTCGTGTAGACGTTGTCCTCCGGCTCGCAGAAAATCGACGGAAAGATGGTCTGGTCCTGGAGCCGTGGATGTCTTCATGGTCTGAATCGCCGTGAGCACTTCAGCAGGTAGAATTTGTGGTGGTACTTCTCCAGTGGGAACAACGGGCATCGGCACGGGTGTTGATGAGCGGAAGAGGTTGGTGTAGAAGTTCTTCGCGATAGATTCCATTTTGTATCGGGAAGAAGTCGGAGTCCCGTCTTCGTTTCATAGTTCAGCCAGCTGTATGTGATATTCACAGAGGTCCCTTCGGCACTTCTTGAGACTCCGTCTTTCTTCGGCTGCTTCCAGTATTTTGGCTTGCCTGCACTTTCTGAGATCCTCCTGTAAGGCTGTTCTGCAACTGGCGTTGGCTATCAGTCGCTCGAAATGAGTTGCATTCGGATCCTGCCTCAGAAATCTTCTTCTTTCGAGCAGTTCCTTGGTGGTCTTCGAAATGCGCTCCAATTTCTTCTCAGAAGTCACTGAGGCACACTCTCCGCAAGCTCTCAATCCTTTCAGAAGCCGGTCGTAGTCGTACGTTGGGTCCTCCTCGATGGGCCAGTCACAACTTGATATGAGCCAGCCTGTTACCGTCATAAACGACATTGTTCCTTCTTGCGGTACTGTGACAGACTTTCTTTCCCAGCCTGCGACTGAATCGTATCTTCGCTCAAAGGAGGCGGTGATCGGAGCCACTGCAGAAGGATGGAACTACTAGACATCGAGCAAGCTCCACCTTCGGTTGGTGGGAATGTGGCCGATCTCCGCGTGAGTCGTTACGTTGGGCGATTCCCAAGTCCACCGGCGATGTTCCTTCTTCGTGAAGATGGAATTCCAATGGAAAAGTCGTGCGGCGGAGAGAAGCCCAACGAGACGGTTGCCGTTTTGGTTTCGAAGCCCATATCCAAACTTCCCAATCCTGTATTCCTCTTCTAGTGGCATCCCGATCTTCGCGTTGAAGTCGCCCACAACGAACTTGTAGAAGGACTTCTCGTTGCGGACGACCTGCTCCACGTCTTCGTAGAAAGCACCTAGTTCTGTTTCGTCAGCTGCTGATGTTGGAGAGTAGCAGTTGATGATGCTGATGGTCTTCTGACGTGGAGTAGTCGTAGGATGGCCAGTCGAGGTGGCAGGATCTCATGCGAATCGACAAGATGGACGATAGATGGGTGGACGACAAAGCCAACGCCTCCAACGTTTCGTGATGGGACCTTTTCACCACGAATGATGATGGTCCCATCACTCATCTGTCGCACGTCCTTCTTCCTGGACTTCGTTTCCTGCAAAGCGATGATGTGGTACTTGATGTGCTCTGCAGCGTTGAGAAGAGCGTGGAGGTCGGCGTTTGTGGAGACTGTCCTGGCGTTGTAGGTGCAGAGCATGAGGCAGTCTCCATGGCGTGTCGTCGGGGCAAACGTGTCTTTTGTCCAATCCAAAAGGCGCCCTGAGTACCCTGACATCGTTCTTGCTACCACCCGGCGCCGTAGGCGGGATCCGATGTGCAGAGTTTATTTCTCTTCTTTTTGCTGATCGAGTAATAAAATGTTTCCCCTACAAGAGCAGAACTACTAGGCCAACTCTTGATTTCCACGAGGCGATCGCTGACCTCGAATGTGGAGCGGGGAGGGACCGCCTAACGACCAGAAGAAGCCAGACGGCGGGGGATCTGGCGTGGCCGGTTCTTAGCTAGTCATCCGGCGAAAACCGGAAACGTCGAACTCCTTTACAGCTTGGGAGGCCCTACCAGAGTATACACTCGGCTGTGCATCGCAGTTCGACACCCTGTGTCACCCCAACGCCACGATGAGGCGACCGACCATTGTGGGAGCCTAATATCTACTATATCATTTCAAAAAGCAGAAAACTCATATTGTATGCTTGCAGT